TTCTGCCTCTATGTGGAACCCTTCCTGGCATTTTCTGAGCCCTCTCGGGCCAGGGAGTGTCGGAGGACGCGTAGTGGGGGGGAATCAGTGGGGGGGCAGCGAAGGCTGCAAGAAAGGAGCCCTTCTGGGCCCCTAGATGGGCCCTTTCGGGCCCCAGAGGGGGCCTTTAGGGCCCGACGAGGGCACCTTCCTTCCCCCCCCCTTGGTCGCCCTTAATTCGGTAGCAAGTCATTGGAACTTGGCATTCCCTTTTTTAAATTCCGACTTTACTGTCGACAAGCGTTGTTTAGCGTCCGAGAGTCGATGGAAAGCGCCGATTTAGCGTCGGCTAGCGTCCACTAGCGTAGATCTAGCGTGGACCATCGTCGATTTAGCCTCGATTAGCGTCGATTCGCAAGAGCCGACAGGATGGCATGGGAGGTTCTCATGAGTTGCCACCGGACATTATCTCGCGCCCAAGAGTGCCACATGGCGGCTCGGGATGAGGAGCTTGTCCCCGGGAGGGTTCCTAAGTCCACAACCCTTTCCCCCTGGCTCTCGAGCCCCTGCAGGGCCAGGAATGGCAGCTTTTTCGTCCCCTGTTGCCAGGGGGTCTGTAGGAATCCCCCTTGCCTCCCAGGCCTGTTCCATTCACCTGCTAGGCCAGCAGATGTTCCCAGACATCTCGCGTCGCAAAACATTCAGGACGGACATTTGTTCATCGTTTTCGGCCCCTCGAGGCCCTCGGCAGGCGTTGGGACCGTCAAAAACGATTCAGGATGAGAAGCTGGCCTCAGGGAAAGTGTCTGCACTTCCGGGGGCCGCGTGTTGAAAGAATCAGGGCGTTGCATGTCTGGGTTTCGCCCCACCATGTGTATACACCATTTGGCGACCGACCAGTAAAGTGAGCGCCTGGCGGATGTGTACCCCTCTCGCCTGGCCCAGACTGTTCGCTCTCCGCCTCGCGATCTTTTCGGCTGGACGTAAGAGTGACCTTTCGCCGGAGTGACCTTCGGTGCGGGCCCCATGGGATCCCCCGATCGCTGAATGCGAAGCGGTAGCAGCGGCTTGCGCGCCCGGGTTTGGCCCCCCCGCGTCTCCCGTTGAGTCGCGCACCACATGTCATCTTGCCTAGGGTCACTCTCACGTGTAGCCGATCCTTGCGCGCACACCTGTGGGCGACCGACCAGGATCAGAGCTCCGAATCATCAGGGCTGGGAGTGGTCAGCGGTAGCTACAGGTTCGCGCCTCGGGGGCCCAAACGGGAGTTACCCAAGACCGCAGCTACCCCGGATAATTCGGGCGTCCGACAGGACAATGAGCGCTTGGCGGATGCCTACCCTTCTCGCCGAGCGCAGATTGTTCTCGTTCCGCCTCGCGATCCTTGCGCGCACACCTTTGGGCGACCGTCGAGACAGGATAAGTCTGACCAGGCGGGGTATCGGTGAGAGTCGGCATCTCTGCTGCTCCCCTGCCGCAATGCGTTACGTTTGCGCCTGCGTTTCCAGTGTCCATTTCGATCCGATTCGATATCGGTTCTGGTCGGCCCGATTCGGCTTCGATGTTCCGACTGTCCGATGCGGCCTGGCGTTGCCCATGCATCTTGGTGCGGCCGATCCGATTTGACTCCGACCCCGTGCCGATGCAGCTCGATCCGACGCACATTTCGATCCGATCCGAGTTGCCGAGTTCCCTGAGTCTCCGCCACAGAAAATACACAGACACCCTCCACCGGATTGTTCCTGGGCCTCAGGGGAGGGTGGCGGTGTACAGATCACCGCAGAGCCAGCGACTCTGTACACCGACGCCCTCCCTGGAGGTACATGCAGAATTCGTCGGAGGGTGTCTGTGTATACATCTTGTGGCGGTGTATAGATCACCGCAGAGCCAGCGACTTTGTACACCGACGCCCTCCCTGGAGGTACATGCAGAATTCGTCGGAGGGCGTCTGTGCATACACCTTCGTGGCGTAGGGTCGATGCTGACCAATCCTGGCTGCTTCAGCCGCGTCCAGGCGCACAGCGCACCGCGGATGGGGACGAAGAGGAGGAGCAGGAGGAGGATCCGTGTAAAGCCAAGGGACCTGATCCGCGGCCCTGCGCGCGTTAGGTAATTTAGTCGCGTCCGCGGCCCGTTCGCGACAAAAAAAAACAGTAAAGCTAAGGGCCATCAACGATGTTGGAATACACCCTCCCTCCAAGCTCCCTCTTCACAGGCCCCTACAGTGGCTCTTTTCCATTGAGGGATCCGTCTGCCTCGTTGGAAGACAACCGTTTGAAGACCCGGAAGCGTGGCAAAAAAATGCTTTCGGGATTCAAATGCCACAGATCAATGTGATTGTTGCGTATTGACGATCTTGGATCGTGCCTGAATGTTACTATTGGCTTAGGTTTCAAACACCGCGAATCAACGTATTTGTTGCACCCGCAACAAAATCCTGATTCTTTCCAAAACACCATTTCTGGTACGTCGACCGTGGAATCCGTGAAACTCTTGCAAGGCGCTAAGGCGAGAGCCACATTTTGAAAAGGAACCGCCCTCAATCCGTGAAACCCGTGCATTTGTTTGGA